TGAAAATGTGGATGAAATGAATGGAAAAGAGCACAGATTCAGTCTCATGTTCTCTCTGTTATAACACATTTATTAACACATCAGTTCAGTATAAAGTCCTTCAGGGGGTCAATCAGGTGTTTGTGATCAGAGAAAAGACTAAACTGTGCAGGACAGAGTCTCACAGGACTGGACATGGTCAGCACTGAGGAACAGAAGACTCACCTCAGAAATGAGTGAAGTGATCAAGACTGCATCTTCTCCTCATTTCACTGCTCTCTCTCTCTCTCCTCACATCACACTCATCAGTTTCTTTCTCTGTGTCTGAGGAGGAACAACATCAGATCAGATTAGACGTTTCTTTAAGCTGTAATCTGGAGCTGTAGAGTCACACAGACACATATGATCTGTTATATTAATATTATATTACTGCTCATTAGTTTACAGAATGAGAGGATACAGCATCCAATTCTTTGATACGATATTTCATGCAAAATACATCAGATATGTCTTAATAGATTGTCTACAAAAAAAGAAGTCATATGACTCTCTCGTCACTCCAGAGCCATGTAGAAAGAGTCACGTGACTTCTGTTGACCACTGTTGGCCACTTCCTATTCCCCCGTTATATCAAAAACAGGACTGCTGAACAGCAGAGGGCGCCCGCGAGGGAGTCCTCAATGAATGGGAACGAATGGAGCTCAACGGCTAAAAACGAACAGTTAAAATAGTTTCTAATCACTGAACCAGAACTTTCCTTTAATTTTAGAAAGTAGAAGCAAACGGGTTTTGAGCAGCAGGAGGTGGGCTTTACTGCTAGAGCGTGATGATTGATTGGCGAGCGGAGCAGCTCATCGGCTGTTCGCGCTCACTGACGTCATGGACGTACATGAGACGCCGTTTTAAACTCCTCGAGTTTAAAAGCTCTTAAAAATATAACAGCGGTGTTAAAGTGTTTTATGCTGCTCTGTGTTTGGGAAATGATTGTATTCTTTTACGTTAAAAATGTTTAAGCATTTATAAACTGTGATTTTGGTCAAATTCTCCATATCAACGCATTCATTTTGGAGTCACTCGGGAGCGCCCTCTAGTGTTCGAGAAACCCAGAAGACATTATAGAGTGGTAATTTTCCCCTCCTCTACAAGTTCTCTGGCCAGGCGGCTCATAAACCGGCTCTTGTGACTCTCTCTACACAGCTCTGGAGTGGAGAGTCAAGTCAACAGAAGTCACGTGACGACCACGTGATACACGTAGACTTCAGATAGGTCCAGGACGCTCTTGGCGGGCAATTTAAACCCATAAACACAGAGAGACAGAACTGCATCTTTTGGTGATTAGTAGTCAATAAATGCATTGATTTACAATATTTATATAGCACACCAACATCTGTATGTAGTTACATCAATATGATTTTTAAAATTAAAATTCGCTCCTATTTGAGGATTAAACAGCTCCGGTTATTTGCCTTGTCGACATATTTTAGGTTAACATTAATGTGACATTGGTTACAAAGCGAGTTGCTGTTGTTTATTCCATATTTTTTTAGTATTATAATTATTAAGGTCTTAAACTTGTATGGTAGTTAAGAGCAAACATTCTCATGTTTGATGATATATTTAGAGGGAGGGGAATGAAAGTTTCAAAATTCAGATCAGATTTTTTTGAAATATTAATTTATCTTTAATTCATGGTGGTTTCAGTAATCTCAAGATAACGGTCTAAATAATCTTACGAGTAATACTACAATATAATGACTTGATGACTAATGTGAACGTTATGACTTCCAGATAAGACAGAAAGAGCCAAAGACATTTCTGTTTGGTTTGCATGTGCAGAAATCTGCTATGAAAAAGGATACATTTAAACACATATTAAAACACATCTATTTATATTTGTTTGCACACATAAACATATTTCATGTATCTTGTCTTTTTATTATGCACTTAATTACTGCAATGAATTCATTAAATAAAGCTCTAATAAACTCAAACATGAACAGCATGTCAAGGAGTTTGTCTGTGCCCTTTTCTCCGTGTCGTCCTTCCAAATAGTCTCCACCATGGTTTGCTCAGCTGCATGAAGATGTCGCTCGGATAAAGGAGATAAGAAAAGAATGTGGTTTCTCCACTGACACAGAGAGGAGAAATGCTGGCTCAAGTCAGAGGAGCGATTACTAAATGACCATTACTGAAGATTACAACACCAACAAAAAACTGTGACACTGCATTTAGACGTTTCACAAACAAAGCCCACATCACTGGGAAGCTTAATGTTTTCTGTATTAAAAATAAGGTAAATAGTTGCCAAACCCAGGGTGTTGAGACTCAGGGTGCAGGGTGGGGGTGCTGTCTCATTGTAGGGAGTCTTCAGGCTGAGTTGAATCACCCCTGTGGTTCTTGTGCCAAAAGAAAGAGTGAGAGAGGGAGAAAAAGAAAGAGGAAAGCTGGTGCACTCAGCACTACTGACCTGCAGCATCACTGCTCCTCCACCATGCAGCACAGAGTGCTCCTACAGCAGAGAACTAATATACCCTGACAAGATAGCTTATAACATAAGTACAGCAACAGAATACATGTTAAGAATGATTACTAAGTGCAGTGATATAATGTTTTAGTATTTAGTATGATTCGCTATGTAGCCTAACATGACTCGTAAGGCCTAGTCTAAGTAGGCCAGGTTTGGGGCCTCTATGTCACACGGCTGGTCTGTAAGCTCCCTGAAATGTTAGTTTTGGGCCTTTCCCATACAAAAGCATTGCCTATTTGAGCAAATATAAAGGGTCGCCGAATGCTGATCTTTTGACCTAGGGCCTTAAAACTCAACATACTCCATCCTCCTAAGGCCTAGTCTAAGTAGGCCAGGTTTGGGGCCTCTATGTCACGTGGCTGGTCTGTAAGGCCCTGAGATGTTAGTTTTGGCCTATTGCCTATTTGAGCAAATATAAAGGGTCGCCGTACGCTGCCCTTTTGACCTAGTACCTTAAAACTCAACATACTCCATCCTCCTAAGGCCTAGTCTAAGTAGGCCAGGTTTGGGGCCCCTATGTCACACGGCTGGTCTCTAAGTCCCTGAAATGTTAGTTTTGGCCTTCCCTATACAAAAGCATAAGCACAAAACACTGAAGGCAGACAGTTTCCATTAAGTAGAACTGAGTGGCTCTGAAATAACTTTTTACAAACAAGCAAAGTTTCAGTTTAAGATTTATTTGCAACTTAGTTACAAGTTTAAGTTTAATAAAAACTTGCTTTAAACTCAGATTCACAAATGAGTTTTCCTTTACTAAACTGCATCTGTAGGTCTCTGTTCATAAACATAAACTAGCCAAAACTAAATTTACTATAAAATCAAATAGAGTTTGAATAAATTCAGAAAAAAGACACGTCAGTCCACTGCATATGTGTACATATTTCTATATTGTGGTCTATTTACACAAAGTTAGGTTAGTTCATCATTTATGTTGAATAGACTCTCCCAATATTTTACGCTGCTGCACTGATGTTGAACTATAGCTGGCTGACCACATTGGTAACCCTTTATTTGGAGTGGTCTTTTGTAGATCATTAATTAACTCTTTCCAGAGTATCAGCAACACATCAGCAGCATATCAGTGAATTAGCAGTAGTGAATCATCTGAATACACTGAAGTAAATATCTTGAAGATGTTCTGTTGATACATTACTTAAATTAAATAGATGTATTGTTATGTTACAAAGCAGACTTTATATTATACTTCCATTAAGCAACACCTAACCTTACCCAACATTACCTCAAACCAAACCCTAACCCTGCCACTAATCCTAACCCTAACCTGAACCCTGACCAAAACCTAATCCAGTGAAGCTCCAGGTACAGAATGGTGTCAGTGTGTCTGTAACAGCTTGTCGAGGATGTTGAGGTGGTCTGTATTAAACCTGTTACATGTTCAGTGACCCCTCAGGTTGTACATCTACAGATATGAACTCCAAACAAAGTGAAAAAACAACAGAATTCAGCAGATTATAAACAAATTTTATTTACACAGTTAATTAAAAGTCTCCTGATAATCTACTGAATGTATTCACTGCTGCTACATCACTGGTATGTTGTTGATGTTACTGAAAGTCTGTTGAGTGTTTATTTCATTTAAAACGGATCACTCAAAATAAAGTGTCCCGCAAGAGTCAGTTTTCAAACATTGTCCACAAAGTTTTGTTTTTCCTATATAGCGCATAGGCCAATTTCAAATCAATGCACTTTGTCATGACAAGACAATCATTAGGCTGTAGTTCTTTGATATGTTAACACAACATAATTAGCTGATGGACTCAGTTGTGGACATGTTTTTGTGTTTGTTTATTACTTCAGCTCGAGGTCCAGATGAGGTTATGTGGAGATACAAAGCGGTGCTGAATCATTACAAGAAGAGGAAATCATTCGTGTCAGCATACAAGGCCGTAGGGGTATCCCAGAATACCATTGTGACTACGGCTCCAATTGCTGAGCTGGCAATTATTGAACCTCCTAAATTTGAGGAGCTGGCCAGCACTTTTTCCCGAAAAGAAAAGCTTCTTGATTTTGCTAAGAAATGCCAGTAGATGTTTTTATCATGTGCACTACAGACTTTAAAGTTATGGTTCATCAACACTTTTTTATGTTGAGCAAATGGCTGCATTGTTTATGTGTAATTGGTGAGCAAATGCCAATTAAAGTCATTGTTTAATTTCACTCTTGGCCTAGTTTGAATTCACTGATGACCGGTAAACATGTGTTAAATGCCAGTGGCTGATAAACATTTACAGCATTTAAGAAATAGTGAACGTGGTTCACTTTGGAGTAGGTACTGTCAAAAGGTTTATATATAATCAATTAATGTTTCTTAATTACGAATTACTGTATGGAGGCGTCCAATCATACATGAGTGTATGTAAGGAGTGATAATGTGTTAACATGCATATGAAATTTAATCCATATTCACTAATAGGTTGTAGGCCTTTAGAAATATTAACCAATAATAAAGAGTTTCAACTTTAGTTCAGGTACTGCAAAAAAGTCTATAACTGATGCATATATGAGTTATACATATTTATTCATGACTTGTAAGTATATATAATCTAATTATGAACCGTTTTAACTTACTTTATGCACTGAAAAGGGCCCAGAACTAAAAGATCTTTTTTGATTATATGATTATTATATCTTACCTCAATATTTAGCCATAATATAGACTTGCTGTCACTTTATTAGACACATCTGCCTTGCTGAAGCACATTGTAGGTGAACAGGAGCACAGAGCTGCTCTTGATTGGATACCTTTGGGGGTTGGAGCCCTCTCAGCCTAGCAGTGACACTGAGGTATGTAGAACCACAGCAGCACCGTTGTGTGTTATACACTTGTAGCAGCGCCACACACTGTTCTGAGACAGCACACTGTTATACACAAGCTGCCAATCATGAACCTATGTACCTTTTCAAATTCTTAAGAACTAATGATTTGTTCATGTTTGAAAGTATGAATGGACACATTGGCAACATGAACTATCGTTGAACATTTGCTGATTTTCAAAGCCTCATTATCTAGTCATTTATTCATTTTCCAATTCTGATGAGCAAGTGATTCATTAACATATTTGTAAATATGAATACATGCATTGGTAACTACATGAACTGTCATTTGTAAACATTGTTCATTTCAAATTCTCATGAACTCATCATTGGTTCACAGCTATTAATCATTAGTTAATGGTATGTTAATGAAAGTTATGATGAAGTGTTTTCAATGTATTTCTCTTCCTCAAGGGTCACTACATTCTGTCCACTTGACTGTAGCTTCTCCCTCATTGGTCAGCAGTGAGCGTAATATAATGTACAATGCGCTCTGACGTCATAATGGACTAAAGGCTACAGGCTGTGATGTCATAAAGGTGATGCAGATAAGTTCCGTCACACGGCTGTTCCACAACATTCCGTGTGGAGCCGTGAAGAGATCAGCTGCTACAATGAGCTGCCTCTGGTTCTTGTGCTGCCGAGTCCATGAGGACTCGGACACAGACAGCGAGAGAAAGGAGGAGCAGCAGAGTGAAAAGAAAAAGAAAGGAAAGAAGAAGAGGAGCGGGAGGAAATGGAAGATGCAGTGGAAGAAAGCAAGGAAGAACAACAAGAACAAAGACGAAGAAGAAGAAGAAAAAAGGAGCCAAACAATCCAGCAGCCAGCAAAGTTGGAGGAAGAGGCTGATGTTGTGGACCTGCCAGTAGGCCTCGTGTCCGGCAGCCTTAAAAGCATCTCTCCTGAGACGCCGGAGAACACGGCACCTCCACAACAGCAGAACCTCACTGAAGAGACGGATGAAACCAAAAAACGTCTAATGAATACGCTGCTGGATGAGGTTGAGGCACAAATGGAGCAGCTTCTGAGTGAGTTAATGAGATAATATTCATAACAGACACTGAATAAAAGTAATGAACACCAAATATTCATAGTAGACACTGTAAAATTCATAGTGGGTACTGAATAATTTATAGCTGTGACTAAATATCCAAAGTAGATACTGAATAATTCATTGCAAATAATAAATAATGTATAATGAAGACTAAGTAGTTCATAGTAGTCACTAAATATTAATAGTAGACACTAAATAATTCACCATGGTTACTGAAAAATTCATAATGCATACAGAAGAATTTGTAGTAGTCACATAATAATTTGTAATATTTACTGTATAATTCATAGTAGATACAATAGCGTTCATAGTACATACTGAACAATCATAGGAATCACCACATCTTCATAGCAGGCACCGTAAAATTCATAGTAGATACTGAATAATTCATTGCAGATACTAAATAATTCAGAATGAAGACTTAATAATTCATAGTAGTCAATAAATATTAATAGGAGATACTGAATAATCCCTATTGGATACTGTATAAATCACAGTAGATACTGATTAATTTGTAGAAGTCACTGAATATTCATTGCTGATACTCAAAAATTCATAATGGATACTGAATATTCATAGTGGACAGTAAATAATTCGTAGTGCATACAAAATAATTCATAGTTCATAATTATATAATCATTTATAATAGATAATGAATAATTCATACGGGGCATTCAATAATTTGTAGTGCATGTGAAATAATTAATACTGATCACATAACAATTTACAATAGTTTATATTAAATAATTCACAGAAGTCATTAAATCAATAAAAGTTGATAGTAAATAATTCATAGTAGGTGCTGTATAATTCACAATGGATAGTGAATAAATCATAGGAGGTAAAGAATATTTCAAAATAATCATGGAACGTTCATAACAGAGACTGAATAATTCTCAATACTCACATAAAGATTCATAGTAAATACTGAATTCATATGAGATATGGAAAAATTCATATTTCATACTGAATAATTGGGAAAAAAGAACTGAATATTTCAGAGTAATAACTGGAAAATACATCTTAAGAGGGTGTTTTTGAAATAATTTTCAAAACTCAATAATATTCAGTGCCCGTCATATTTGACTGTATTTTTATATACAGAAACTGAGACAGTGATGATGATTGGAGAACCTCTGGAGAAACATCTGGGTAAGTAAAGAAAATGAACAGATAGTACGATGATAATAACACATTTAGTTAAAATAAAAGCAAGAATTCAGCTTAATATGATCTCTAATCTGTCTCAATTCATTCTAGATCATCCAGTGAGCACCAATGATGATGCTGCTAAAGCCATCAGAGAGCTCCTGGAGGTCCTGTTTGCTGATGCTCTGATGGCGAGTGTCCAGCCTCTGAGTGAGTAAAGGAAATAAAAATATTACAATAAAAATGAAAAAACTGGAAAACTGACCATATTTATGTGTATTAAAGCAGAAAATGAGATGATTACAAAGAAGGCTGCTGAAGCTGAAGCTGAAGCCATCGATGCGTTCATGAGCATCTCAGTCGAGGACAATGAGAAGGAACATCTGGAGGAACCTCTGGGTAAGTAAAGAAAGTAATGATGTCATGGTGGAAATACATTTAGTTCATATTGAAATGTGAATTCTAATCTGTTTTAATTCTTCATTCAAGATAATCTAGTGAGCATAACTGATGACAAGACTGGAGTCATCAGTGAGCTCCTGGAGATCCAGCTGGAGTATCCAGCGAGTGTTCAGCCTCTGTGTAAGTAAAGTTGATGAGCAGATGTCGTGATGATGATAACAAATTCTGGTTGCTTTCACACCTCCTTTGTTTGTTCCAGACCTTCAGACTTTTAAATTTGGTCTGAAGCAAAACTGCATGTGTGAAAGTTTCCTCAGACCATGGTTCAGATCAAAGGGCCAACATTTGGTCGGTCTAAAAGAGGTGGTCTTGGTCCAGATCAAACTGAGCCATGGTTCGATTCATTTGCAGTCTGAAAGCACTTTTTTGGATGGTTCACATTTTCGGACCAATTATAGGAAGTTGAGTCAGGCTGTCGTCACCCATCAAACAATAGAGGAAGAAAAAGAACCAGAAGAGAGTAAAATGAGCCGCGGTAGCTCACGGGGAGGAGACGGTGTGTTTATTTGTAATTTGGACTCACGAAAAAGTCAAAAGTCAACATTTTTCTCCATTCAAACATAAAAGACAAGAAGCTGAACTGACCACACGCTGACATCAGACTCTCCTCTACAAACCAATCGGTGTCCAGTACAGGGAGACACAGCCCACGGTGGTGATGATGTCAGGACGTAGGTGTGTCATGCAGAGTTCTTTAGTGCACTCGTTAAATCGCAACCAAAACGAGCTGGATCAAATAATTACAATGTAACAAACACATGAACCTCAGTTTGGACTTTGATCAGGACTTTCAGGTCTGAAAACACCCTTAATTTATATTAACACAGGAATTCAGCTAAATATGATCTCTAATCTGTATGAATTCATTCTAGATCATCCAGTGAGCACCAATGATGATGCTGCTACAGCCATCAGAGAGCTCCTGGAGGTCCTGTTTGCTGATGCTCTATCAGCGAGTGCCCAGCCAAAGAAGGCTGCTGAAGCTGAAGCTGAAGCTGAATCCATCGATGAGCCCATGAGCATCTCAGTGGAGGACAATGTGGAGGAACATCTGCAGGAACATCTGGGTAAGTAAAGAAATGAACAAATAGTGAGATGATATTGACACATATAATTAATATTAAAGCTTAATATGAGCTCTAATCTGTCTGAATTCATTCAAGATAATCTAGTGAGCACCAATGATGACGAAGCTAAAGCCATCAGTGAGCTCCTAGAGATCCTGTTTGACGAGGAGATCCAGATGGGGTGTCCAGCAAGTGTCCAGCCTCTGGGTGAGTAACGAACATAAAACATCTACAATAAAAATGAAAAAGCTGGAATACTGAAAGTATTTATTTGTATTAAAGCAGAAAATGAGATGGCGGCTGATGAAGCGGAGGCTGAAGCCACCAACAAATTCATGAGCATGTCTCTGGAGGACTCTGAGGAGGACCCTCACAGCAACTTGGACGATGGTGAAACAGGTGATGACCAATCTTTTGGTTAGTAATGGAAATGATCAGTGGAAATGTATCAGGAATGAAATCAGCTGGAAAAATGATCAAATTTATTTATGTGAATGCAGACAATGAGATGACGAGGGAGATGATGTTGGCTACCAAAACCCTCAAAGACCTCTTAGGCATCAATTGTGAGGACGCTGAGGAGGAACCTGTCAAGGAACATCTGGGTAAGTAAATGAAATGAACAGATGACAAGATTGTGGAACATCTAGCACCACAGCTATGGGTGAGAAGAAGAGTCCATGTTCATGATCAGCATCATGATCACTCTGAGTTAACAGGGCAAACGCTGATATTATTAATGCTGATATTAATTTTAACACAGACAATGAGATGACGAGGGAGATGACGTTGGCTACCAAAACCCTCAAAGACCTCTTAGGAATCCATCGTGAGGACATTGAGGAGGAACCTGTCAAGGAACCTCTGGGTGAGTAAATGAAATGAACAGATGACAAGATTGTGGAACATCTAACACCACAGCTATGGGTGAGAAGAAGAGTCCATTCTTATGATCAGCATCATGATCACTGAGTTAACAGGACGAACGCTGATATTATTAATGCTGATATTATTAATGCTGATATTAATGTTAACACAGACAATGAGATGACGAGGGAGATGATGTTGGCTACCAAAACCCTCAAAGACCTCTTAGGAATCCATCGTGAGGACGCTGAGGAGGAACCTGTCAAGGAACATCTGGGTAAGTAAATGAAATGAACAGATGACAAGATTGTGGAACATCTAACACCACAGCTATGGGTGAGAAGAAGAGTCCATTCTTATGATCAGCATCATGATCACTCTGAGTTAACAGGGCAAACGCTGATATTATTAATGCTGATATTAATGTGATTAATTTTAACACAGACAATGAGATGACGTTGGCTACTAAAACCCTCAAAGACCTCTTAGGAATCCATCATGAGGACATTGAGGAGGAACCTGTCAAGGAACATCTGGGTGAGTAAATGAAATGAACAGATGACAAGATTGTGGAACATCTAACACCACAGCTATGGGTGAGAAGAAGAGTCCATTCTTATGATCAGCATCATGATCACTCTGAGTTAACAGGGCAAACGCTGATATTATTAATGCTGATATTATTAATGCTGATATTAATGTTTAACACAGACAATGAGATGACGGGGGATGATGTTGGCTACCAAAACCCTCAAAGACCTCTTAGGAATCCATCATGAGGACATTGAGGAGGAACCTGTCAAGGAACATCTGGGTGAGTAAATGAAATGAACAGATGACAAGATTGTGGAACATCTAACACCACAGCTATGGGTGAGAAGAAGAGTCCATTCTTATGATCAGCATCATGATCAATGAGTTAACAGGACAAACGCTGATATTAATGCTGATATTATTAATGCTGATATTAATGTTAACACAGACAATGAGATGACGAGGGAGATGATGTTGGCTACCAAAACCCTCAAAGACCTCCTAGGCATCAATTGTGAGGACGCTGAGGAGGAACCTGTCAAGGAACATCTGGGTAAGTAAATGAAATGAACAGATGACAAGATTGTGGAACATCTAACACCACAGCTATGGGTGAGAAGAAGAGTCCATTCTTATGATCAGCATCATGATCACTCTGAGTTAACAGGGCAAACGCTGATATTATTAATGCTGATATTAATTTTAACACAGACAATGAGATGACGAGGGAGATGACGTTGGCTACCAAAACCCTCAAAGACCTCTTAGGAATCCATCGGGAGGACATTGAGGAGGAACCTGTCAAGGAACATCTGGGTGAGTAAATGAAATGAACAGATGACAAGATTGTGGAACATCTAACACCACAGCTATGGGTGAGAAGAAGAGTCCATGTTCATGATCAGCATCATGATCACTCTGAGTTAACAGGGCAAACGCTGATATTATTAATGCTGATATTAATTTTAACACAGACAATGAGATGACGTTGGCTACCAAAACCCTCAAAGACCTCTTAGGAATCCATCGTGAGGACATTGAGGAGGAACCTGTCAAGGAACCTCTGGGTGAGTAAATGAAATGAACAGATGACAAGATTGTGGAACATCTAACACCACAGCTATGGGTGAGAAGAAGAGTCCATTCTTATGATCAGCATCATGATCAATGAGTTAACAGGACGAACGCTGATATTATTAATGCTGATATTAATGTTAACACAGACAATGAGATGACGAGGGAGATGATGTTGGCTACCAAAACCCTCAAAGACCTCCTAGGCATCAATTGTGAGGACGCTGAGGAGGAACCTGTCAAGGAACATCTGGGTAAGTAAATGAAATGAACAGATGACAAGATTGTGGAACATCTAACACCACAGCTATGGGTGAGAAGAAGAGTCCATGTTCATGATCAGCATCATGATCACTCTGAGTTAACAGGGCAAACGCTGATATTATTAATGCTGATATTAATGTTAACACAGACAATGAGATGACGAGGGAGATGATGTTGGCTACTAAAACCCTCAAAGACCTCTTAGGAATCCATCATGAGGACATTGAGGAGGAACCTGACAAGGAACCTCTGGGTGAGTAAATGAAATGAACAGATGACAAGATTGTGGAACATCTAACACCACAGCTATGGGTGAGAAGAATAGTCCATTCTCATGATCAGCATCATGAGATAATAGGTTGATAATAGGTTGCTGTGGTACATGTGGTTGGTAGGGTGTTGCTAAGAGTTTGTTATGGTAACCAAGGATCCCAGGACAGACTATGAGAGAAAGGCTTGGTTACTGATTTATCTAATTTTGTTCTCTAGCTGAAATGGATATCAAGAAGACAGAGAGACACAAGAAGACAAGACAACATCCTTATTGGAAAAGAGAACAGGTACAGGTGCAGCTTTTAGTTCTAGTCATGGTCTCTAATCTATGGATTTTTAGTCCTAGTCTTGGTCCTTAGACTATGAATCTTCTAGTCCTAATCCTGCTCCCTAAACTATGGTTATTTTAGCTCTAGTAATGGTTCCAAAACTGTGGATCTTTTAGCCTTAGTCATGGTCCCAAAACTATGGATCATTTAGTCCTAGTCATAGTCCCTAAACTGTGGATCTTTTATCCTTAGTCATGGTCCCTAAATTATGAATCTTTTAGTCTTAGTCAAGGTCCGTAAACAGTGGCTCTTTTAGTCCTAGTCACAGTCTCTAATCTGTGGATATATTAGTCCTAGTAATGGTCCCTAAACTGTGGATCTTTTAGTCCTAGTCATGGTCTCTAAACTACAGAGCTTTTGGTGCTTGTTATAGTCCTTAAACTGTGGATCTTTTAGTCCTTATCATGGTCACTAATCTGTGGATCATTTAGTCCTAGTCTTGGTCCCTAAACTATAGATCTTTTGGTTCTAGTCATGGTCTCTAATCTGTCGATCTTTTACTCCTAGTCATGGTCATTATTCTGTGGATCTTTTAATCCTAGTCTTGGTCCCTAAACTGTGAATCTTTTAGTCCTAGTCACAGTCACTAAACTATTAAACATGTTTTTTTATAGAGAACCCAACAAGTCTTTCTTCCAAGAGGTTCTTCTGAACAGAACGACATAAAGAACTGTGAGGATGAACACAGGCAGGTGTTCTGTCCCAGACAGGTGCAGCAACAGATGGATGGCATATCCAATGCAGTGCCGTACACCTTTACAGTCTGGAGGACAGGATGGAGAGAGGAAAA